ATCTATAATGATGACGGAGAAAAGGAAGCTTTTAAAGATTAAACTGGCTAATAAATTGAATATGGAAGCCATCTCCTGCAAGCAAAAAGTTAGAGAGAAATGACTCAAAGATGGTGATAAAAACATAAAATACTTTTATTGCTTGGCCAACCACCAAAGAAGAAGCACCTATGTGCAAGAGCTTCTTGTTGACAATAACAGATTTGAGGGAATGTTGTCATGAGAGACGCCATTAGATCATACTTCCAGAACTTGCACACTGAAGATTTTTGCCTTAGACCAAAGCTAGATAAGCTGCAATTCTCAAGAATTGATGAAATTACTAAAACACAGCTGGAGGCAGATTTCAGTGAGGCAGATATATGACAGCCTCCGTGCTTGTGATGGTGATAGGGCCCCGGAGCCCGACTGCGTTAATTTAAAATTCCTCCAGGAATACTGGAGGGTGGTAAAGCAGGATTTTCTTGAATTCTTCAATCATATCCCCAAAAACTCCTCATTCGTGAAATCAATTAATTTTACCTTCCTGGTTTTAGTCCCCAAGAAAAAGAACACTAAGCAAATTAGTGATTTCAGGCCAATCAGCCTTATTGGGAGTGCTTATAAAATTCTTTCCAAAGTGTTGGCTAATCGCTTATCAAAAGTCATCAGCTCAATCATCGGGGAGAATCAACAAGTCGTTGTTCATGGGAAGCACATCACAGATGTCATTCTTATGGCAAACGAAATTGTGGATGAGGGATCAAGGAAAAAAAAACCAAGGTATTCTTTGTAAACTTGATATGGAGAAAACTTTTGACTGTGTATCCTAGAATTTCAAGATTACATGCTTGAGAGATTGGTTGGATTCACGCCTGCATCTCCTCTACTAGTTTTACCGTCTTAATTAATGGAGGTCCTGCTTCCTTTAATGTTTCTAGGGTTTGAGACAAGGTGCTCTCCTCTCTCCTTTACTCTTTATTATTATCATGGAAGCTTTAAACAAATTGGTGGAAGGAACTAGAGGTCTTCAGTTGATGAAAGGAACCATTGTGGGTAACAATGACAAACAAATGGAAATTTCACACCTCTTCTTTGCCGACAACACTCTATTCTTTTGTCAACGGGACAACAACTCACTTCTAAATTTGAGATGCATTCTCCTTTGCTTCCAAGCAGTCTCGGGCCTAATAATCAATTATGATAAATTTGAATTAGTGGAATTTGGTCTTGATGTCCTGAACTTTCATTTGCCATAGTTATGGGATGCAAAGCTACTAAATTGCCCATCAAATACTTGGGCATCCCCCTTAGCGCTAAACACAAAGACAGCAGATGTTGGGAGCCAATAATTGACATTTTCCAAAACAAATTGGCATACTAGGAAAGGAAATTTCTCTCCAAGGGTGGCAGGTTAACACTCATTAGAAACACTCTTTTCAATCTTCCCATTTATTACCTCTCGGTGCGCACCATTCCAGCTGAAGTGGCCAAAAAGCTGGAAGCTATTTAATGTCATGTCCTTTGGGGAAATAATGACAATAACCGTAAATTCCATTTGGTCAGTTGGGAAGAAGTTAAACGGCCTAAAGATGTGGGCGGACTGTGCCATAGGTCTCTCTTGGCACTCAACAAAGCTCTTCAAGGCAAATAGGTTTGGAAATTCTGGAATGATAATAGATGCCTGTGAAAAAATATCATTGAATGCAAGTGGTTTAACAATGGTATACATGATCTGACCAAGTTGGAAAGCAGCTCTTATGGTAATGAGTCTATGGAAAAGCTTTATGCAATACAATCACTTTATTCAGAACTGCTCTACTTGGGTCATTGGCAAAGGTAATAAAGCTCGGTTCTGGCAGGATGTGTGGCACGGGAACATCAATGTTTGATCCCGCTTTTCCGTAATTCTTGCTATAGTAAGGGATAAATATATGCTGGTTAGAACGCATTTGAGGACAACAACTCTTTAACTGGGAATGTGGTTGTTAACCGAAACCTCCAAGATTGGGAATTGGAGGAATACATGGAATTAACCCTGATTCTTGCCACTATCTAACTGAGTAACAATGATGACAGACTTAACTGGAAATTGAACAAGAAAGGTAATTTTTCTGTCACATCTCTTTACATCTGGAGGGTTTGTCAACTGAAAATCAAACTGCTTTCCTCAATAAAATGATCTGGAAGTCTCAAGCCCCACCTAGAATTTCTTTTTTTGTTTGGGAAGCTGCAAAGAACGGATTTTGATAATAGACAATCTTATGAGGAGAGGTTTTCACTTGGAAAATAGATACTCTTTATGCAAATCTAGTCTGGCAACATGCAGACACCTTCTATTATGCTGTCCTATCACATATGGACTTTGGACTGAGATTTTCAGCCTTATGGGTATTCATTGGGTTATTGTTGGATCTGTGAAGGCAGAGCTCCTTGCTTGGGAGGGTCTTACTGCTAAAAACAAGTATTACAGGCTAATCCCACTAACTATCTTCTGGATTTTCTGGAAAGAAAGAAACAATTAAGTTTTTGGGGTCTTGAGGTAAATTTTGCTAACATCAAGGACAAATTGTTACATCTTTTTGGTTCTATTATTCTAGGACACAACTTTGATCGGTTGGAAGATTTTGGTTCCATTGTAGATATTCTTACTGATTTGTAAATTCTCACTTTTTGTACATGGGCGGCGCCCCCTTGGCGCCTATATCAATACACTTCACACCTTTATTTTTTTTTTTAAAAAACATGTCTAGCACCCAAAGGACAACTGAAGAAGACAATAGGACACATGTTTTGTTGCAAGACTATTCCAATACTAAGATTAGAAGCATCACACTTGATGAAAAAAGGTTGAGGAAAATTTGGGAGATCCAGAACAAGTGTGATGATCATAGCAACCTTGAGAGTTTCAAAAGCCTGGCGACTTGCATTGGTCCAAACATGTTAGTTAAGCATGTTAGTTAACAGGGCCAGCAATAATGCCATAATTTTGAACAAACTTTTGATAATATTCGGTGAGCCTCTAAAATCCATGCAAGATTTTCATGGTGGAAGGAAGAAGCCATTTTTGCATAGCCATAATTTTTCATTATCTACGGTCACTCCTTGATGAAATATCACATATGGTCCACGTGAACCACGGAAGCTTGAGTCATGATGCACTTTGATTGTTTAAGAAACAATAAGTATTGTTGTAAAGTAGCAAACACATTATGAAAATATTGCAAATGTTCAACCCAAGAGTTACTGTAGATCAAAATATCATCGTAAAAGATGAGGAAAGATTTCCTGAAGTATTTTTAAAAAGCATGATTCACAAAAACTGAAAAGTAGAACAAACATTAGTGTCCTGTCTTAGGCATAATGAGTCCTGAATGTTGTTTTTTTAATGTCTTAGGCAGCCATTCAGATTTAGTGATACCCAAATCATAGGTCTAGCTTGGAGAAGAAAGATGAGCCATGAAGTTCTTCCAACAATTCTTCAATGACCAGCACTAGAAATTTATCATTAATTACTTGAGCATTAAGAGCATGGTAATCCACACAAAATCTCCAAGTGTTATCAACCTTCCAAACTAACAAAACAAGAGATGAGAAAGAAGATTGGCTGGGTTAGATTAAACCTTGCTGGAGGATGTGTCACATTGCTTTCAGTTTGATCCTTCTAAAAATGGGATAGAGGTAGGGCCTCATTGCCACCGGTGGTGTATCTGGCCTTAAGATAACCTGATGGTTTAATGCACAGGGGGGAGGCAGTCCTGTAGACTCCAGAAAATGTCTAAAAGCAACCAGTTAGATTCTGAAGTTCAATCCTCCAGTAAGAGTGGAGGAAAAAGCTAGTTGAATTTTTTGTGAATTGGTTAAAGTAGGTAGCCCCTGCAAATTTACAAGATTTCTGCAGTACAAAACTCATCTTCATATGTTGAAAATCCCAAGTAATAGGAGCCAAAGTGTTCAACCAATTTACTCCATTGAGATAAATTAGAATAAAATGGAGAGTGAAGAAAGTATTGCCCATTTCCAAGGACATTGATTTACAAATTCCAACACTTGGGATTTTTTCTCCATAAGCCACCAAAATTTTCAAGTAAGTGTAACGTAGGAAGAGTTTCTTTAATTCTGTTGCAAGATGAAAATCTAGGAGTATGTGAGTTCTCCTTGAATCAATTAACACAGCTATTGGTTGACCATCAAGAAAACCCTGAACTTTTATCATTTGACGAGACTGAAACCCTAGCATGGCATGTAAGGAGATTTCTGTCGTCTGGGATGTTTCTGGGTTTGTCTTCTCTAGGGTTTCTTCAAAAAAGTTCATCTTGAATCAATGGAGGTCCTCAACCCCTAATCAGAAAAGTTTCTTGCAAGAGCAACCTGGTTCAAACCTGTCATCACAATTAAAATAGAGTCTCGACACAAGCCTTTGTTCTCGTCGACAGACGCCGAACAACTGATTGCGAGACAAAGAAGGCCAATGCAATTGCCTGTGGCCCTGGATCCTGAAATTCTGGCAGTTTTTGGAGTTTTCGTAGGGAGCAGCACAGGTGCTGCTTGTATAGGCGTGCGATGCTTGTGGCCATGGTGAGGTCGCGCTGGTTTCTTCACATTGTATTTCAACAACTGTGCAGTTGTCGAGGCCACTGACAAAAACTCCACCTCCTGTTCAGAAGTGGAGTTGCCTAGGCAGAAAGGAATTTAGACTACCTTCAATATTCAGTCGTTGTTCCTTGTTGGCAAAGTTTGCGGAATTTGCCTAATTTGTCGCTGTGGATGGGGGGATCAAATCGCAGATGATAGAAGTGTTCAAATTCTTCCCTTGTATGTGCTAGCTGATCCCTCTCCAACTTAAACCACAATTTTGCTTCTCCTTCCAAGTAAAACGAGGCTAACAGAACTTTTTCTTCTTCCACAATCAACTGGTGGTAAAATGCTCACACCAAAGGACCAAGGAAGAGGATCAAAAGATCCATCAAAAAGTGGAAAATCTAGTTTTATATAGTGTGGTTAAATGGATGATCCTGTCAAAATTTGATGGCTGTGGGCCACACCGCCGATCTTCCAATTGTATGCTGCCTTCCCTTGTGCTTTGTGTGCAGACGTGTTCGAATTAGACAGTTCCTTAAGTTGGCTGGCCAGAATTTCAAACATCATCCAATTCTGTTCACAATCTTCCTGGTAAGTTTTCATGAAGAATTCAAACATCAAGTGTAGATCACCCATAACATCTGGCAGTGATACCAAATTGTTAGGATTCCTACTTGATAAAGGTTATGATAGAAATCAGTAGAAAAAATGCTGTTTTTGTTTTCATTTCCTTTACCTAATTTTATCTAAATATATGGGCTCTTTAAGAGAGAACCCGATGGTCTTGAGTAAAAAGAAGTAGTCAGCTTTTGATAGAAATTTTTAATATATGATTTATCTAGAAACAACGATTTGTATTTATTACATGAAAGGAGAAGGTAGTAATTTTCTTGAAGTTTTCTTCTGATCCATAGATAAGTAACTACTTTTATCTTAATCTAGACTTAGTCTCATGCAGTTTATAAAAATAAGTACATATATAAATAATTAATTATTTATCAAAATTACAAGCCTTCTGCTTCTTTTGGTATACTTTTTCAAAAGATATGGTTTTTCCATTGTTTGGCTCATAAGACATTTCTTTATAAACTTTTGGATCTTTTATGGTGGCAAGCAAGACAATAGAAAAACTACCAGATTCTTCCCTTGGAAATCCATTTCGAAAGAGAGGGTCCTATTAAAGGCTTCTTTATTTGCTTAAGAAGCTATGTGAGAGGTGATCTTGATGACTGAAATTTGGAAGAAGGATGGATTTATTTGGTAAATAGTGTTAGCTTTGCAAGGAAGACACGTATCTGTCGACCATAATCTTTTCTGGTTCTATTCAACTAAGAAGGTTGTTGAGTGTATTTCTCTCTATACTTTTGTTCATAGACTTATTGCTAGTTTGGTTGCAATAGGATTGACAACTTCGCGATGGTAGGGCTTTCAAAATGGGTTTCATAACTGGATTGTTTGGAATTGGGTGAAGAAATGAAGGAAGAAGAATTTGAACAAAGTGAAGAGGAGAATTCCTTTCACTATTTTCCTTAATTTTCTCGGACACAAGTAGTGCTATTATATAGGCACCAACATTGATAAAAGAGATTACAAAATATTCTAACAAGTAAGTGGAAGAAGAGAAAAATTGGTTGTTAAAGTGGAGGGCATACCCAGCTATCATAACAACCAAAAAAAAGAAAAAAATGGAAAAGACTAAGTTACCTCTTATATATCTATATATGTAAATATATATACATTGTATACTCCCCCTCAATTTAGGTTACATAAATGTTGTGTAATCCTAGATTGAATACAAGATTATTGAACTCCCTTTTTGGTAGTGCTTTTGTGAGTATGTCTGTTATTTGTTGACTGGTTGGGATGTATAGTAGTGACACATCTTAATTTTCAATTTTCTCTTTGATGAAGTGTCGATCGATCTCGAAATGTTTAGTTCTATCATGGTGCACAGGATTCTTGTCCATACTAATAGTCGATTGATTGTTACACCAAATTCTTATAGTAGTAGGAGTAGAAAATCTTAGTTTTAGTAATATTTTTTTTAGCCACACTCCACTATATATTCCATTGACAACATCAGAAAAAGAACCTACATCAAGAAAAGAACCTACATTAGAAAAAGAACCCGTCCTTGAAACTACCAAAGAGCCTGAACTTGTCATAGAAACGGATAGCATATTACCTGCAGTGAGTAAGTTACGTGTCTATACTAGGAGGAACAAGACTCAAGGTGGTGGTAAAATATCTGAACCAACTATGCACTGTCATGAATCAACTCCTGGATCAAGCACCCAGAATACCACAAGTAATAAAATCTCTGGCTCAACTACTGATATTGAATTGCCTATTGCTTTATGAAAAGGTATTCGTTCTTACACAATGCATTCCATATAGGATTATGTCTCATATGACAAACTGTTTTCAAAGTTTCATGCTCTTATGAGTAAGTTTGATCGTAGCCCCTCAGAACTAAGAACGATTCATGAATCTCTCAAAATTCTTGAGTGGAATACTGCTATCCAAGAAGAAATTACAGTACTTGAAAAGAATGGGACATAGAAGTTAACTGATTTGCTTTCAGGAAAAACTCCAGTAGGATGCAAGTAGATTTTCACCATTAGATACAATCCTAATGGTAGTGTGAATCGGTATAAAACACGACTTGTTGTTAAAGGTTTCACTCAGTCATATGGAATTGATTATCAAGAATTTGCTCAAGTTGTCAAGCATAATACTATCCGGGTATTATTCTCATTAGTCTTTAGTCTTGATTGGCCTCTTTATCAATTAGATGTGAAAAATGCTTTTCTCGATGGTGATCTAAAAGAAGAGGTGTATATGAAAGTTCTACCTGGACTTGAAATGAATCCACAAAAGATATATAAACTAAAGAAGGCACTTTATGGACTCAAATAGTCACCGATGGCATGGTTTGATAGGTTCACCAGGGCAGTAAAGCATATGGGATATGAACAGTGTCAGTCCGATCACACATTATTTGTCAAGCACTGTATCACAAGAAAGATAGCTGTACTGATTGTATATGTTGATGAATTATCTTAACAGGTGATCATAATGAAGAGATTCAAAATCTAAAAGACTTCTTACCCAAAGAGTTTGAAATTAAAGATCTTGGGATATTCAAATATTTTCTTGGAATGGAAATAGTTCGGTCCAAGAAAGAAATTTCTATATCTGAGCCGAAATATGCCTTAGATCTTTTGAACGAGATTGATATGCTTGGTTGTAAACCCGCAGAAACTTCTATGGAGTCAAATGCTAAACTTAGTTTTAGAAATGATACACCTGTTGATAAAGAAATGTATCAGAGACTTGTAGGTAAGCTTATCTACTTGGCTCACACAAGACTTGACATCTGCTTTGTAGTAAGCACTGTGAGTCAGTTCATGTCTCAACCTACTGAGGAGCATATGAGTGCCGTCTAATGAATTTTGAAATACCTAAATATGACATCTGGACAGAGATTATTTTTTCAGAAGACAATGACTAGAGAAATTGAGATCTTTACTGATAAATATTGGGCAGGATCTGTAACTGATAGGCGATCCACATTCGGTTATTGCTCATATGTGTGGGGTAATTTAGTCATTTGGCATAGCAAGAAACAATTTGTTATATCAAGAAATAGTGCTGAAGCTGAGTTAAGCTCACTTGTTCATGGAATATGTGAAGGAGTGTGGCTGAAACAAATATTACTAGAATTAAGATTTTTTGCTCCTGCTACTATGAAAATTTGGTGTGACAATCAATCGACTATTAGCATGGTCAAGAATCCTGTGCACCATGAAGGAATTAAATATGTCGAGATCGACCAACACTTCATCAGAGAGAAAATTGAAAGTCAGAATGTGTCACTACTATACATCCCAACTTGTCAACAAACAACAGACATATTCACAAGAGTACTACCAAAAAAGGAGTTCAATAAACTTGTATCCAATGTAGGATTACTCAACATTCATGTAATCTAGATTGAAGGAGAGTGTAGAATGTATATATATTTACATATATAGATATATAAGGGATGTTCACATCCCACAATTGATATTTTTGAGTAAAATTCTCCCCCTGAATATTAAGAGTGGGATAAAATGATTGGTTTTCAAAAAATGTGACATCCATAGTATTATAGAATCGACGGGTAGTTGGATAAAAACATTTGTAACCTTTCTGATTAGAGGAATAGCCAACAAAAATACATTTAAGGGCTTTTGGGTCTAGTTTTTCCCTGAGATGGGTATGAATGAGTACATAACCAGAGCAGCCAAAGACTTTAAATTGGATTGTGTGTAATATGTGAGAGTTTGGGAAGGCTTAAATAAGGGAATCATAGGGTGTTCTGAATTTAAGAATACGGGAGGGCATCCTATTGATCAGGTAGGTAGTAGTGAGAATAGCCTCTCTCCAAATTTTCCCAAAGAAATTTAGAAACATTTGTGGTAAACATAAGTGATCGAGACACTTCAAGAATATATCTATTTTTTTTTTGGCTACACCATTTTATTGTGGGGTGTACACACAAGAACTTTGATGGACAATGCCTTGATCAGTGAGGTATTTTTCCAGGTTGGACTCAAAGTATTCACATGCATTGTCAGTTTTCAACACTTGTATTGTTGTCTGAAATTGGGTTTGAATCATAATATTGAATTTCTGAAAGATTTGGCCAACTTCAGATTTTTTTTTATAAGGAAGACTCAGGTTATTCTAATGTGATCATCAATGAAGGAGACAAACCATTTTGTACCAATAATATTTTTTACCCGTGTTGGTCTCCATACATTACTATGGATTAATGCAAAAGGTTTTGAAGGTTTATATGTAACAATGAGATATGAATTGCGAGTATGTTTAGAAAACTGACATACTTCACACTGAAATGAACTCGGATTTTTATTTCTGAATAAAGCTGAAAATAGTTGTTTCAAGTACATAAAGTTTGGGTATTCTAATCTATAATGCCATAACATAATAGAGTGGTTAATATTAGAACATCCTACAGAAACTGAATTAGCACATACTGCACTCGAAGTTTGTCCATTTGAAAGAGAAGTTGTGACTGGCAGAAGGTATAGTCCTAATTCCTTCCTAGCACTGCCAATCATCTTCCCTGATACCAATTTCTGAAAAATACAGAAATCGTTGTCAAATTTAACTACACAATTCAAGTCTTTACACAATTTGCTTACAGATAACAGATTGTAATCCAAATTGGTCACATAGAGGACGGAATGTAGTATCAAACACGGTGATATATAGGCTGAACCAACTCTTGCCACCATAAAATTTGTTCCATTAGCAATCTTAATGGAGGATACTTCCTTACATTCATTGTCTTGACGAAGGAGTGAAATATTTCCAGTCATATGATCGGATACCCCTAAATCAACAATCCACACTTGTCTTTTTGTGGATAGGCAGATAAACTAAGTAAGAAATTACCTCTTTGAGCATCGGAAGCATTACCAAGAAGACTCTTCTGTGAAAACATTTGCAAGAGAGCCTCCATCTGAGTTGGACTGAAGGGAGCATTTTCGATGGGTGTAGGAACAGAGGATGATTCCTCATTAATCACCAAATTTCCATGATGTGTCTCTATTTTCAAGTTTTTCTTCTCACTAAGGGTACAATGCAACTTCCAGCATTTATCACAAATATGATTGGATTTTTTACAAAATTCACACCACGGTCTACCTTTTCTTCCTTAAGCTTCAGAAGCACGATTGTTGAGGGCAGAGGCAGTCTCGGAAGCGTGAGCACCAAACTAGGATTCGCCCAACAGGGCTTTCTTCTGGGCAGAAAGAGCCGAACCAGTCTCTGCTGAGTTCGGGCCAAAGAGAGACTCACCCATAATGATTTTCTTCTTGCTCTCTTCACAACAGATTTCTAAAAACGCTTCTTTGAGTCTTGGCAAC